TATTTTCACATACAGAAAATTCACACGAAAAGCAGTATAGAACTGATCTAAACAAGATGAGGAATGCATTTGAGGTCTTCAAAATCAGACAATAGGAAAGTCAACAATGGCTAGCATAGTGTCTCTCATTTTCTTCAAAATAGATGTCCATATCTTCATGTATGTTGAAATTAAATAAAACAAAATGGACTAAAATCACTCTGAACAAAGAATAATAGTATTGGCTGGATTTCATATCATGCTACGGAATCAGCACTGGGTACTGTAGACAGACTGTTCTTTTTGGTGAACTAACAATAGTATAATTATCTTGTGTGTATGTATATATTATACACATGATTGATAAATAATCTTTTCCCTTCTTTCTTTTCTCCTTTCCCCCATCCCAGTTTCTCTTTCCTTGTGAGCAGTTTCCTCTCCTTTCACTTTCACAATATCTATTGTACATTTTGGGTCTTATTTACTCTTTCAGTTTTTTATATTAAAGAGGCAATATGATATTTACGCCAATAAGTCTGATTTATTTCACTTATGAGTGTGGCCTTAAGTTGCATCCATTTACTGTAAAAGCCATGAATTTGTTTTCCTTCCTTGTTGAGTAGTATGCCATTGTATAAAAATACCACATCTTTTTTTTTTATCTAATCCTTTGTTCATGGGTATTTGGGTGTTTTGAAGATTTAGCTATTACAAATTATGCTGCCCATATATTGCTGTGGCATGATGTTTGCATTTCTTTTGGGAAAATATTGTTAAAAGGAGCTCTGTAAGATTTGTATTAGTTTTGTCCCCACTGCAGTAAGATGAGATTTGTATTTCTGCTATGGATTTAGTATAGTATGTATGTCTAATGCATTTTAATAGTGTATTTTGGGGGTGATGGAAATATAGTTTAGTGCTCGAGCGCTTACCTAGCATGTGTGAGGCCCTGGGTTCTATCCCTAGCCCTGCAAAATAGAAACCAAAAGAAAAACAAAACAAAGCAAGTATATATTGGATGGTTCAGCACATTGAATTACTTGTGTTTTATGTATGAGGTGGGAACCGTATAAGATCAAGAAATATCAGTATGTCTTTAAAAATCATTATTTTCAGGCTAAGAGTAATAGAAACAAACGTAGCTGGCTCTGTTGGGTTTATTATTTACTGTTGCCACTGAGAACTGTACCATGGAGAATGGTGGGTGCTAGGAAGCACTTAATATAATAATTGGGTTTGTCTGTTACTTTAGCAAAGATTCAAAGTAGTGAGGATTTTCTGTGAATTGGGTTTTGTCCAGAAGGAAGTGGGAGAAGTCTGTGGTGTGTGGATGGTCTGTATTTTAGTCTTACGTAGAAGGCTGGTCAAATGAATGAAGCAAGATCAAAGCTAAAACTGGAAAAGAAGTTATGGTCACTTACATTGTCTGGGTAGGAGACAATATATTTATATTTTTTCCATATTCATGCATTATTGTAAGAGTAGTTCTGTTTTTGTCTTGATTCCTTATGGTCACAGAGTGGCTTCATCTGACAGTGTTCTCTGTGAAGTTGTTTATATTCAGACTTCAAAGCCTAGCTGGGACTGCCAGGGCAATGCCTAACTTTTGGGGTGTTTCTCTTTCTCATAATTTTTTTGTTAAGTATAAACCAGGTTCATTTCACAAAAAAAGTGAGGAAATACATAAATCAAAAGTAAAAGGAATTATTTAGAAACAAAAAGATTTAAACTGCTTAGTATTTTTGTATGCCTTTGAGGATATATTTTAGCTTTATTAAATTTTTTTAATAAATGTGAAGTTGCATTCTTCATATGGTTCTTTTTTTAATCTTAAAGATTGACTGTCATTTCATTGTAAGATACGTGGCTTTTATGCAGAATGGGAAAGAATTAGTGTTAGTGGAGTGTAACTGTCATCTTTATAAATGTTGATAAAATGTTTAGTATTCTGTAGTCAATCATCTTAGCTGTCTCTAGATCATTTTGCACTGTATTTCTTTAAATGTGTGTTTTTGTATGTACACATAAGTGTACAATATGATATGATCATATTCAACTTTGTTTTATGCTGAGTACTGAACTCTCAGGGCTTTGTACATAGTAAGTAGACAGGCATTCTATTACTAAGTTATACAGTCAGTCCTACGAATCATTTAAGGAAAACTTACTATAGGCAAGAATTAGAGAATGTAAATTTTATTAGATGAAAGCATTAATGTTGATAACTTTGGGTTCTGCTGTTGAAGTTCCTACTATTTGCTGTGAAGATACAGGAAGCATCAATGATGATTTCGGGAATTTTAGGATCCTATATTCATTCATAATATACATTTCAGAATGTTGAATTAGTTCTCAGTGTTTAAACAGTAATTAAACTATTTGATATATGATATCTCAAAAAATCACAGAATAGCACATATGAATCCATATGACATTGTAATTTAAAAAAAAAAACATGCTTTTCAATACAGATTTAGTGATTGACTGGACTGAGTCTTGCTGTTTCCCATGCTTGCTTTGGACTTTTGGGGTCAAGTAATCCAGCAACAGTCTCCTGACTAGTTTGTCCTACAGGTGCCTGCCACAGCCCCTGACTTGCCTATTTTTGTGGAAGGATCTCATTGTTTTGAACATACTTCTTGGAAGGGTCATTGTTTTTGAGAATCTAGATGAAAAAAAAATTTGTATGTTTGCATATATATAAAAAACATTCACAGTAAGTTTCTTTATATTAGTTCATGCAGTTCTATTGCATTAGATGAATTAAGGATAACAGCTAAGTACAATATATAATGAAAAGCACTTTAACTATTATTAATTTTAGTAAATACTTTTTAAAATCTTCTTCTGAATCAGGCCTGGTGTACACTCTGGTGTACACACCGTAGAGGTATACAGGAAAGTGTAGGAGCATCTCAAGTTTGAGGCCAGTCTGAGAAAATTAGTGAGATGTTGTCTCACAATAAAACAAAAAGGACTCAGATGTAGTTCAGTTGCAGAGCATTTGTATAGTGTCCATGAGGTCCTGGTTTCACTTGTCCGCACTGGAAAAAAAAACCAAAAAACTTTCTTTGAAGATGTATGCCACGACCTGCATGGCTCTCCTGAGGTTCTTGGGGTGGTGGACTGCAAAAGGATGAGAAAATAAAGAAGAGGGAAAGCTGGGGTCAGGTACAGCCCTTACCCTCGGAATAGGAGAAAAGAAGCTGTCCCTTGGGGTTGAGGATTTAGCTCAGTGGCTTAAACACCTGCCTGGAGGTCATCGTTCGATCTCGGGCACCAAAAGAAAAAAAAAAAAAAAAAAAAAAAAAAAAAAGAAACTGCCCCTCTGTTGTAGGGCATATGTTTATACATTTTATCAAATTAATGTCATATGACACTGTGGTCCTAGCAACCCACTGTTCAAATTGTCTTGGGGCTATTCTCCGGACTGAAGCAGCTTCTTTATGTGATTTTTACTGGGCATTCTCCAGCCCTGCACGTGTGTTCAATTTCCAGCTTTAATGACACCTAACAGATGTACAACATAAAAAAAAAAATATATCAAGACAAAAAAAAAACACAAAGGGGCTGGGGATTTAGCTCAGCGGCATAAGTGCACCTTCCTTGCAAGTGTGTGGTCGTGAATTTGATCCCTGGTACCAATAAAAAAATGAAAAAGACAAAAAAATATTATTTAGTATCACAGCAGTCGAATTGGGAAAGAAAGGCTTACCCATTTATTCAGGGGTTAAGTATGCATACTTATTTTTGAGATACTGGGGATTGAACCTAGGGCCCTTGCATGGAGCTACATCTCTGTCCCTTTTTTAAGTTTTAATTTTGAGGCAGGATTTTACTAAGTTGCCCAGGAAAGACCTAAACTTGAATTCTTCCTGGCTCAGCTCCCAAAGTGCTGGGATTGTAGATGTGTGGTACCACACCTGTTTTTCTTATTCTTGCCTATGTTGGAAAAAATGTCTGTGTCGCTTTCACTTTTTCCCTTTTTTTCCCCTTTATTTTATTTGAGGGCCTCCAGAAGCTCTGAATTATAACTGGGTAATTGTCAAATTTGTATAGAGGGAAGTAAAAGCTGTAACTTTTGAGCAGATTTTGAGAACTAGTATTGGCTAATCACCTGATTGCTTTTTAAATATACTTTTTTGTGCTAAGCTTAAAAAAATTAATGTCTTTGGTTTAAAGCTCTTGAAAAGTTCCCAAAGTTCCACTTAGAAAATACCCTAGATATCTTCAATGTTTTTTCTTTTCTCTAAGTTTAAACTGTCACAGTGGTACTGAAAGCATGTTTAATGCATTTTTAATCTTTCAAAATTACTCAAGTGGGATTTTTTTTTGGGAGTTGATTTTGCATAATGCACCATAATGTAAATATATACTTAAATCTTGAATAATGATTTAAAACATATATATATAAAATGTGTGATGCTAGAAAGATGACTTTGTCATGTCCTCAAGGACTTTTCAGTCTACTGGATAAAAGAGAGATTGTGTGTGTGTGTGGGGGGGGGGGGTTCACCCATACACAGTGATTGCATTACAAAGTGGACTGATGATAGAGCAGATATAAAAATATTAGAGAGAAAATAAGTAATACATCTGGGTCAAGGAAGACATAATACTATAAGAAAGGCAGTGTATTAAAAATAGTGTTCCTTACATCTAGAATGAAAATTATAGATACTTTGGACAAAATTATATTTAAAGGTTCTTTTTTGGTGTTAAGAATTCAACCCAGGATTTTGTGTATGCTAAACCAGCATTCTGCTATTGAGCTGCATCTCCAGCCTTCCAAAGATTCTTTTGTGTTAAAAAGTTCATTTATTACCCCACTCCGGGCTCTGGGAATTGAACACAGGGTCTAAATACATGCTAAGCATATGTTTTCCTACTAAGCTGCGCCCTGAACCACTGATGTTTTCCTTGAGTTAGTATTTTGCTTATTATCTTCATGTTATCTCTTTTTCCATTCTTTAACAATATATAATTGCTTTTTTCCCCTCATTTTCTTCTTTTTCTGGCAGCTCTTCACAGATGGCATCACAAATAAACTTATTGGCTGTTATGTGGGTAACACCATGGAAGATGTAGTCCTGGTGAGAATTTATGGCAATAAGACTGAGTTGTTAATCGATCGAGATGAAGAAGTGAAGAGTTTTAGAGTGCTGCAGGCTCATGGCTGTGCACCGCAACTCTACTGTACCTTCAATAATGGGCTGTGCTATGAGTTCATACAGGGAGAAGCGCTGGATCCACAGCATGTCTGCAACCCAGCTATTTTCAGGTATTTTCCCCTTTTTGAATATTTTGTTATGAAAAATTATATTAAGTGCGTGAAGGAAACATTGTTTAAAATTATTCTTTTCCCAGCAACCATTTGGTTCACTTAGAAACTTTATTTAGAGCTTTTGTTTCCTAAAAAAAGAAACAAAACAAAAATCTACTGTTTTCATAGTTGACTCTTTGCAAAAGAAAAGGCTGCAAGAGATTCTAATTTACTGCTATGTAAGGTCAAGGGTTTCTATAAATTTTGGGGTGAGGGAAAGGAGTTGGTATTGGGGACGGAACCCAGGTTCTTTGCACTGAACTTCATGCCCTGTCCTCTTTAATTTTTTGTTCTGAGATGGGATTACGCTGAGTTACTGAGTTGTCCACAATGGATTTAAATTTACAACCTTCCTACTTTGGCTTCTCAGGGGGCTGGGATAAAGGCATGTGCCACCCTGCCTGACTTCCTGTTAGGTTTTAAAGTAATGTTTTATCAAAGTGGTATACTTTTTTTGGTCAACTGCTTATTATTTAATTGCTCATATTTTCAGAGTTCTTACAATAAGATTCTCAATTCTATTTTTGTTATCAAAATATTTTTCATTTTAGAATTCTGTTTTCTATATTTTCTATAAATGATAATGTCATATATCCTCATGATACTTCTGAAATTATCAACCTCTAAAATTTGCTTTCTGCTTTGAAACCTCTAGAAAATGGACTTGATTTGAAAATAGCAAGTTTGTTGTTTATTTTGTTTTCAAAGCCTCTTTGTAGCTTTGAAGAGTTCCTGAATGCCTAGGAACGCTTGTTTTAGTATTTAGTATTATGCCTGTCAATATTTACCATATCAGAAGTTAAAACAGAATGTTGAGAACATGAGAATATCAAGTGGATATCCTGTTACCATCAGTACAATGATGTCACATAATACGCAGCCCCTCGAACTACACTGTACACCTTGAGAGAATAAGAGAATGTTGACTAATGTTTCATGAAAGAACAGTTTTACCTTATACACTTCCTTAACCTCAAGGGTCTAGGGGTCCCTGAATTGTAATTTAAGAGTTGGTGAATTAAAAGTGATAAAAATTAAATGGACCAATATTATAGCTTCTTGGTAAACATGAACATATTCATACATTTTGGAATAGAGATTTATCAAACTCTTAAGAGTTATCAGATATATTATCTTCTTTTACATGAGTGTACACGTTAGATGTGTTGCATTGCAGGGTCCCAATGAATACATTTATGTTTACTTGCTGTGTTGCCCAGGCTGGCAGTGAACTCAAGAGCCTCCTGCCTCAGCCCTAAGTAATTGAGACTACATAGATGTGTGCCACTATATCTGACTTGTGGTATTCATTCATTCATTCATTTATTCATCATTAGTCTTTGCTGTAGTTGAGAAATATTTATGTATTGGGATTAAGAATGAAAAGATTGGGGGCTTTATGTATTGGGGGATTTAGCTCAGCGGCATAAGTGCCTGCTTTGCAAGCAGGCAGTCGTGAGTTCGATCCCCGGTACCGATAAAAAGGAAAAAGACAAAAAAAAAAAAAAAAAAAAAAAGATTTCATAGATTGAATCATAGGAGAAGCAAGGGTTAGATTCAGATACAAAAATAACATACTTTTCAAGGTTGCTAGAGAAGGGCCACATGAATTTCCTTGCAAATACAGGCAGAGAGAAACATATTTAGAATATTACCTGTCCTTCCGCTGAAAAATAAACACCTACTTGCTCAGGATCTGCAAAATGTACCCAGGCCCAGGAGTTTCAGTGCCCGTTTGCACTTTCATGCTCAGTGATGGCAGCAAAGGCAGCAGTATCTGAAGATACTGGGTTTTAGTGCTTTCTTCTTGTATACGCAAGATACAGGCACATTGTTCAGCCATGGCTTAGATGTGAAGCCGAAAGCTATGAGGGAAGGCCATTGAACATTACTTCAGTTTTCCGTGGTACTGCACGTTGAGTCTTCCCTGAAGTTTTTGTAAGGACATACATAATGTTAGTCCTTCTTTGACTATCACACAAGTAGGCTCCCGGGACTCCCAGTGAGGTTACCTGTATGTTACAGAAAGTCTGGGCCAGCATCCACATAGCAGCAGTAGGATTCAGCAGCCACAAGAAAAGACTAAGTTTTGTCGGGGACTCCACCTGAGCAATGTCGTCATGAAGTAGCTCTGCCAATACTGTGTACAGATTCGGAGTGATAAAGCAAAATGACACCAGCTGGTCAGAAGTGCTTAGACAGTTATGTGACTGTCGTGTACTGTCCTGTACTGTCACTCCTCCTGTCAGTGGACCCTAAGTGAGCAGTCCTAGGCCATCATAAAAAAAATACAGGATTTGGGCCATGGAGGCTGCCATGCTGCTGCCCATCGATCAGTGTTATGACTGAAGGTAGGCCAAGTAGGTCAGTTCTGAAGTTCTCACCTCTAGCACAGGGATCCCTGGGCATTGTTTCTGAGCAGGATGTCCAGCCTTACTCTCTCCTCCTTGCGTGCATTTCTTCATCTGTCCTTCTGTACATGTTCTCAAAAGGGAGCTTTATCATAAGAAATAAGTGCCCTCACTCCAGGGGTGAAAGAATATGTTGGGAATTGGCAGGCCTTATGCTATTTCCAATATGAGAAACTTTCTGTAGACATAAGAAGATAATTTTATATGCATTACTTTTTTGGGGGGGAGGGTGGTGATGGAGATTGAATGTGGGTCTTTGTGCATGCTAGGCAAGCACTTTGCCACTGAGCTATATCCCTAAGGCTAAATAGAGAGTTGTGCCACTATATCTGACTTGTGGTATTCATTCATTCATTCATTCATTCATTCATTCATTCACAACCTTGAACTTGTGATCTTCCTGCCTTAGCTTCTAAGTACTTGGGATTCTAGGTGTGTGTGAAGCTGCATTTGGTTTTGATGTTGTTAATAATAATGATCTTGCCTGGAGATACTGGGTAGAAAAAAGGCAATGTCCAAAAGATATAAGAACAAAATTGCTTAAGGCTAATATTTATCTAGTAGTCTTAACTGCCTTATATATATGTGTGTGTGTGTGAAATATATATATATATATATATATATATATATATATATATATATATGAGAAACATACACACACACTGGTTTTTTTGGTACTGGGAATTGAACTCAGGACCTTGTGCTTGCTGGGCAGGTGCTGCGCCACTGAGCTATATCCCTGGCTACACATGTATTCTTGAATTTTTTATACCTCTTCTTTTTTGTTTAATGCATTAGCTAGGACTTCTAGTACATTGTAGAGAGATTTGTGAAGGAGGAGTTATCCTTACCTGTTACTCATTATCTTAGTAGGAAAGCCTCATGTTTCTTTTCATTAAGTAGGAGGTAGATATTCTTAATCATTGTCTCATTAAGAAGGATTTTTTTTGGGGGGTGGGTACCAGGGATTGAACTCACAACCTTGTGCTTGCCAAGCAGGTACTTAGGCCACTGAGCTAAATCCCCAGCCCCTAAGGAGGATTTTTTTGTAGATGTTGTGGATCAAAGTGAGGAAATTCCTCTTCCATTCCTAGAGTATTGAAGCTTTTTATTTGTTTGATTAATTGCTGTTTGATTTTATTAAAGGCTTTTTCTGTACCTGTTAATAAGCTCGTGTGATTTTTTTTTTTTTTTGTTACAATAATTGAATTTCAAATGTTAAACCAGTCTTGCATAACTGGGATAGTTCTTCTTGGTCATGGTGTATAATTGTTTTTTATACGTTGTTGGATTTTTTTCTTAATGCTTTGTGTTAGTAAATAAAATAATTTAAAATAATCTTAAATAAGAAATCAAAAATTATAGTTTTTCTGTTTATAAGATTTCCTGATAGAAAATAAAGTACTATAATCAGATTGTTTTAAGAACGACATAGTATTTGCTATTTTAGCCATTTTTAAAAGTTACAGCTCAGTAGCATCTATTCACATTGTTTCATAGCTGATTTCCAGGGATCTTTTCATCTAGCAAAACTTAAACTCTATATCCATTAAATAATACTGCCTATTCCCCCTTTCCTCTAGACCCTGACAACCGCCATCTATTTCTGTCTCTATGAATTTTACTACGTAGGTACCTCATGTAAGTGGAATTATACAGTATTTGTATTTTGTGACTGTCTTATTTCACTTAGCATGATGTCCTTAAGGTTTATACATGTGGTAACATGTGTTAGAATATCTTTTTTTTGGTGCTAAGGCTCAAACCCAGGACCTTGTGCGTGCAGAAGATTCACTGTATCACTGAACTACACTTCTAACCCAGAATTTACTTCCTTTTTAATAAGACTTTGAATATGGGTGTGCAAATATCTCCTTGATGCCTTGTTTTAATTCTTTTTAAGTAAATATCTTGAATTAAAATGATAATTTTATTTGTATTTTTATTTTGTCTTTTTGAGGTAGGGGCTCACTGTGCAGTTCAGGCTGGCCTTGGGCTTACTTTGTAGCCCAGGCTGGTCTCAAACTTGCGACAATCCTCCTTCCTCAGTGCTGGGATTTCAGGAGTGTGCTATCACACCTTGCTTCGATTTTTAAGTTTTACAGGCACTACCTTGATGTTTTTCGTGATAGGTATACTGTTTTATGTGTCTCCTAATGTTGCAGAAGGGTTTTATTTTCTTCACATTCTTGCTAAGAATTGTTTTCTGTCTTTAATTTTTTTCTGTTTTTAGATTGTATAGTAGTCACCCTAATTAATGGAAGGAGATATTACATTGTCTTGGATTTGCATTTCCTTAATGATTAGTGATGTTGAACATAAATTTATATGTTTATTGGCCTTACATTTTATCTTCTTTGGAAAAAAGGCTATTTTATGCAGTTCAAATTAGGTTGTCTCTTTATCAAGTTGTAGGACTTCATTATTAAATCTGAATATTAACCTCTTGTCACATATAGATGCTCCTAGGCTGTTATTTTTTGATAAACCCACCATTAATTTTTTTTTTTTTCTGGGTCCCATGGTAGCTTTATTTTTAATTTTTTT